GAATGAGTTTAACAAAATGAACAATCCCACTACACTGAAAAACACAAAATTTCTCTAAGAAATTAAAGAAGCCCTAAATAAGAAAGAATATAACATTCATGGACTAGAAGGCTCAATACTGTAAATATATAAAAATTTCCCCAAATGTATATAATGCAATACTGATTAAAAGTCACAGAAAATTTTGTGGAAATTAACAAGGTAATTCTAAAACTCATATGAAAATGCAAAGGGCCAAAAATAACCAAGGCGATCTTACAGAAGAATAATAAAGCTGGAGGACTTTTGCTGCCATGTATAGAAATCCATTATACTGGTACCATGTTTAAGACAGTGAGATACTGGGGCGCCTGGGTGGCTCAGTCATTAAGCGTCTGCCTTTGGCTCAGGTCATGATCCCAGGGTTGTGGGATCGAGCCCCGCATCAGTCTCCCCACTCTGCGGGAAGCCTGCTTCTCCTTCTCCTGCTCCCCCTGCTTGTGTTCCCTCTCTGGCTGTCTCTCTCTCTGTCAAATAAATAAAAATAAAATCTTAAAAAAAAAAAGACAGTGAGATACTGATGCAAGGAAAGATAAATGGACCAGTGGAACAGAATAGAGTCCAGTAATAAATCCTTACATATATGGTGACCTGATTCATGACAAATATGCTAAATGCAATGATGCTGCCCCCAATCAATTCCAGATAGTTGGAGACTCTGTGAATATAAAATAAAATTTTTAGAGGGAACAGAAGAGAATACCTTCTTGACCTGGGAGGAGACAAAGATATATTTTTAAAAAATATTTATTTACTTTTTTTGAGAGAGAGTGTATGTGTGCAAGTGGGGGAGGGGCAGAGGGAGAGAGAGAATCTCCAGCAGACTCCCTGCTGAGCATGGAGCCTGACATGGACCTCGATCTCACACCCCTGAGATCATGACCTGAGCTGAAATCAAGAGGCGAACACTCAACCAACTGAGCCACCCAGGTTCCCTGAAACAAAGATATTTTTAACAGGACACAAGAAGCATTAACCATAAAATAAAAATATTGCAAGTTGTAATATATTAAAATCAAGGACATTTTTCATCAAATGGCAACATTAAGGGAGTGAAAAATCAACCCACGGAATGAGAAACGATATTTTCTATATATATATATTCAATAGATCTAGATGTATAACTGATATGGGATTTATATCCACAATATACAAAAAAAACTTCTAAAAATCAGTAAGAAAAATACATCTCAAAAGAAAAAAAATGGGCAAAAAAATGTACTAAGCCACTTCACTAAAGAGGATAGTCTACAGGTCAGTAAACATGGGAAAAGTTGATCAAAGAGACTGCTACCCACACATCAGAATGGCTATGCTGAGAAAGAAAGAAAATGCCAAGTACTGAGGTGGATGGAAACCAACTGGAACTCTATGCTTTCCATAAGTGTGTAAATTAGTACAATTACTTAAAAAAACTTTATTGAGGTATGATTGACATGTAAAAAGCTGCACATATTTATTGTATACAATTCAATGAGTTTGAGGATAAATATACATCTGTGAAGCCATCACTACCATCAAAGCCATAGACATATCCATCACCTACCAGAGTTTCCTCCTGCCGCCTTCCCCTTCTTCTTTTCTTCTTCTCCTTCTTCTTCTTTCACTTTAGATCTACCCTCTTAGCAAATTTTAAATATACACCACAGTATTGTTAGCTAGAGACAGTATGCTGTATAGATTTCCAGAATTATCTATATCAATAAAATTTAACAATATTAATTCTTTCTTTTAAAGATTTTATTTATTTAATTGAGAGAGAGAGAACATGAGAGGGGAGAGGGTCAGAGGGAGAAGGAGACTCCCTGCTGAGCCAGGAGCCCAACGCGGGACTTGATCCTGGGACTCCGGGATCATGACCTGAGCCGAAGGCAGTCGTTTAACCAACTGAGCCACCCAGACACCCTAACAATGTTAATTCTTGATCATGTATCTTGCATAACTGTAACTTTGTACCCTTGACCATCACCTCCCTCTTTCCCCCTCCCCAAGCCCCTGGCAACCACCATTTTACTCTTTGCATCTATGATCTTGACTATTTTGGATTCCACATTAAGTAAGAGAATATTTGTCCTTCTCTATCTGGCTTATTTCACTTACCGTAATGTCATCCAGGTTTTTCAATGTTGTCACAAATGGCAGGATTTCCTTCTTTTTAAAGGATGAATAAATTCCATTGTATGTTTGCGCCACACTGTACATCCCTCCATACTGTTTTCCATAGAGGCTGCACCAATTTACATTTCCACCAGCAGTACACAAAGATTTCCTCTTCTCCACATCTTCACCAACACTTGTTATATTTCCTTTTTTCTTTTAATAATAGCCACTCTGACAGATGTGAGGTCATATCTCATTGTGGGTTTTGTTTTTTTTTTTAAAGATTTTATTTATTTATTTGAGAGAGAGAATGAGATAGAGAGAGCATGAGAGGGGGGAGGGTCAGAGGGAGAAGCAGGCTCCTTGCTGAGCAGGGAGCTCGATGCGGGACTCGATCCAGGGACTCCAGGATCATGACCTGAGCCAAAGGCAGTCGCTTAACCAACTGAGCCACCCAGGTGTCCCTCACTGTGGGTTTTTTTTTTTTTTAAGATTTTATTTATTTATTTGAGAGAGAGAGAGAGAGAGAGAGAGAGCACATGAGAGGGGGGAGGGTCAGAGGGAGAAGCAGACTCCTTGCTGAGCAGGGAGCCCGATGCGGGACTCGATCCAGGGACTCCAGGATCATGACCTGAGCCAAAGGCAGTCGCTTAACCAACTGAGTCACCCAGGCGCCCTCTCATTGTGTTTTGATTTGCATTCCTCTGATGATTAGTGTTGTTGAGCACGTTTTCATGTACCTATTGGTCATTTGTATGCCTTCTTTGAGAAATGTCTATTCAGGACCTTTGTCCATTTTTAAATTAAATATATAATGATTTGAGCTATTAAAAATTATAGGAGTTCCTTATTGTTTTGGATATTAACCCTTTATTGCATATATGGTTTACAATTTTTTTTCTAATCTCTAGGTTGCCTTTTCATTGTTTCTTTCACTATGAAGAAGATTTTGAGTTTGAATTAGGCTCACTTGTTTATTTTTGCTTTTGTTGCTTGTGCTTTTGGTGTCATATCCTAGAAATCATTGCCAAGACCGACACCAACAAGATGTTTCTGTTTTCTTCTAGGGGTTTTGTAGTTTTAAGCCTTATGTTTAATTTTTTAACCCATTTTGAGTTGATTTTTGTGTATGGTATAAGGGGTCCAATTTAATTCTTTTGCATATGGATATCCTATTTTTCCAGCATTATTTATCCAAGAAACTATCCTTCCCCATTATGTAGTCTTAGCTCCCTTGTTGAAGATTGTTTGACTGTATATGTGTGGGTTTATTTCCGGGCACTCTATTCTGTTCCATTGATCTATGTGTCTGTTTTTATCCCAGGACCATACTGTTTGATTACTATGGCTTTATCATATAATTTGAAGTCAGGAAGTGTGATGCCTCCAACTTTATTCTTCTTGCTCAAGATTGCTTATTCCAAGTCTTTTGTGCTTCCATCTGAATTTTAGGATTTTTTTTTCTATTTCTGTGAGAAATGCCACTGGAACATGATAGGGATTGCATCAAATTTGTCGATCACTTTTGGTAGTATAGACATTTTAACAATATTCTCCCAAACCACGAACACGAGCTGTCCCTCCATTTATTTTTGTGTCTTCTGCTCTTTCTTTCATCAAGTATAATTCATGCACCTCCTTGGTTAAATTTGTTTCTAAGTTTGTATTGGTTTTGATGCTATTGTGAATGAGACTGTTTTCTTAATTTGTTTTTCCGTTTGTTGTTAGCGTACAGAAACACAATTGAGTTTGTATCCTGCAACTTCACTAAATCCGTTTATTCCACGTTTTTTGGTGGAGACTGTAGGGTTTTTCCTATATATAAGACTCTGCCTTCTTTAATAGTTATGGTCGCTTGCATTTTTCTCCATAATGAGAAAAGTAAGTTACAGAGGCTCTAATAGGCAATGCTCTCTCAGGGGAATCCTCAGTTACCAGCAGCCTGCACCTGCGCACTCCTGGGGGGCTGGAACTCCCACAAACCACTGGGCTGAGCTCCGTTAGGGGCGGGCCCAAGTTGCATGCCGGGAACAATCTGAGCCGCAGAACTCCAGGCTTCCGAGGCATTTCCTCTTTGAGACTGCATTTCCCAGGAGCCACCACGCCGAATTAGCCGCCACTTCCGGCATCCGAGGGTCGGTGTCCTGGTGGGGTGAGGCCCTGAGGTCGAGGAAGAACTCCGTGGCTGCCAGAGGCCTCTACTGAGCAGGACCCCAGCCGGAGGGACCCGCCAGTGTGGGTGGGCAGAGAGAGGCGCTCAGGACAGGGCGCTGACAGGCACCCGAAGGAGTTTCGCCAGAGCGCGCGCGCGCAGCGAGGAGGGGGATTGTGCGACCGCGAGTGGCGGACGTGGAGTGTGGGGGGTGTGCGTGAGGGCGCGCCTGGAGCAGCGCAGCTGCGGTGACGGGGACGGGGGTGTGTGGGCGCTGAGCGCGGTTTGCTGTGGCTGTGTGTGTGTGTGTGTGTGTGTGTCACGGGGGCCTGTGGCCCGCCTCTTCGTCCGTCTTCTCTCCTCCCAACCACGTGGCTGCAGCATACCAATGGCCCCAGTAGGGAGGCCAGATACTGAGCCTAGAATGAAAGTTCCCCCCCAGAAAGCCCGGGCCTGGACTTGGCATGGGAGTTTCAGAGCTGCAAGTGCCTGTCTGGGGCCCCCACGGGGGCAGCTACATGTTCAGAACTACCGCATTCTCAGAGTCCTGTCCCCAGGAACCAGCTTCGAACTCGGGGACCGATTCCTCCTTTTACTCCCATCCCATTTTGTGCGAAGTAAGGGAGGTGTGGCCCTGGAGGGTGCTTTCAAATTTAGTCTGCGCTCCAAGAAAAGCCTGGGGTCTCATGCTCGCCTTCTCCTTCCCCAGTCGTACCATTATCCAAAAGGACCCTGGGAAGGATGAGAGTATTATTGCTGCACGTCTAAAGTCAAGGGTGAGTTCCTGCTTTGTTTTGCATAAGAAATGCGTTTTTGTTTTTAGAATATAGAGGTTCCAGTAAATTTTCCGGAAATGTAGGGAGACGTGCAAATTGATACCCCACCATTTGGTCCCCCATTGCCCCTCACCTCTTCACTTAATATTAACTTGGTAAATAATTTGGTAAATACCAAAAGCAGTTTAGTAAATTGTTCATATCTTCTTGAGCACTCCCTTTTTCTAAGATGACATGGAAATAAAACTCCAGTGATTAATGCTAAAGCTTTATTTTAGACTCTGATTTGGTGAGAAGGAAATTAGTGTTTAGGTGGAATCACACACTGGATATCTTTTGATCTTTAAGGGCCTGCTTTCCAAAGCAAGGGAAGAAGGGAGATGGTTAGCTGATTTTAGTCAGTCTGAGGCTTTCAGAAATGGGAAAGTGATGGCAACAGAAGTTGGTATCAGTAAGAGCCAGGATTTTTCCAGGGCGTTCCATCAGTTGAAATTTGTATTATTGGCCACTTCTGTTTGAAGTTTGGCAGCTCGAGCTGTGTGTTGGGCTTCCTTTTGTGTGGACTGAGAATCAGTATAGTGTGGTTGAGATTAGGGGCTGTGGATCCAGATGGAATATTGGCTCTCTGGCTGTCTCAGGTTTGTAATGAACGTCAGATGAGTTAATATGTATAAAGCCCCTTAGAGCAGTGCCAGGCATACAGTAAATGCTTGATATGTTCAGCTGTTGTTTATGTGTGTTTTAGCTCATTCCTCTCAATTTCTATACAGCAGGGGCATTAGGAATATGTGATCCATGGTTATTGCTCCCTGCATATTAAGAAAACAAGTGAGATGCTCAAGCGATATAGATTCTTGGGCTGCCAGGGTGGCTCAGTTGGTTAAGCATCCGACTCCTGATTTCAGCTCAGGCCATGGTCTCAGGGTTGTGGGATCAAACCCCGTGTGGGGCTCTGTGCTGGTCATTAACCTGCTTAAGATTCTCTCCCTCTGCCCCTCCCTCCCCCTCTCTCCCTCCAAAAAAAAAGGAATAAAAATGCTTAACTTGAGTTGCTATGATGCCATTTATGGTCTCAGAGGACCACAAATCCCTTGAAATAGTATACCAAAGTGTTATGGTGGAGTTTATGGGGAAAGTGTATAATTTCATGAGATTATTCAAAGTGTGCATGACCTAGAAGGCTTGGATTCATCAGTGCAGATCAGTAGTTCTTAACGGGGGGTGATTTTGCCCACCAGGGGATGTTTGGTAGTATTTAGACGCAACTTTGGTTGCCACAATGGGGGGCAGTGATACTTGGATCTAATAAGTAGAGGACAAAGATGCTACTAAACATTCTGCAATGTACAGGATAGCCCTCCCCACCATTCTACCCCCCCAGCAAAGAATTATCTGGCTCAATATGGCATTCATGCTGAGGATGAGAAACCCTAGTCTAGCATTAAAAGACTGTGATACTTGGAGTGATATTTAAAATGATCTTGTACAAATTGAGTAGTTAAGCAAATCACACTAGACTCATGTGATAGGGTATTATGCACTTAAGAAAATTATGTTCATAAATAATCATGAAAAGAGAAAACATTTGATCTCGTGTTAAGCAGTATTCATGTTAGGAACGGTAGTACCCAAGATGTTGTATATGAATCGCATTTACTAAGGGAGGGCAATCTATAAGGATTCTCTCCAAAATTATGTTTTCATAGTTTTTTAATGAAGAAGAGAACCGAGCATGGTACTGTGTATATCCCATGCATTTTCTTACTCAGTCTGCAGGTGCCACTTACCTGCATTATGTTCTTTAGGAGAAGAATCTTGAACATGAAAATTTCTAATTATATTGGTGAGATACAGCTAAAGGATGTTAGAACTGGTTGCTGTTACTTGTTATAGTCACATTGATATCTTTGTTGACTCTCATGACAAGCTCGGTTCTTTAATGGTTGGAAGTACCCTCTTCCTGATAGCTCTGTTTTTATTTTTATTTTAATTTGGAAGTAACTTTATTGTGGGGTTTTGTTTGTTTGTTTTGGGGTTTTTTGTTTGGGTTTTTTGTTTGTTTTGTTTTTTATTTAGAGAGAGTGTGTGAGCAAGGGGAGGGAGGGACAGAGAGAGAGAAAATCTTAAGCAGGCTCCATGCTCAGTGTGGAGCCCGATGCGGGGCTTGATATCACAACCCTGAGATCATGACCTGAGCCGAAATCAAGACCTGGACACTTAACTGACTGAGCCACCCAGGCGTCCCTTTATTGTGTATTTTTGATGATGGAATAGTGTGAAACTATTCTTTTTAAGGAACTTAAGAAGAAAGTTAAAATTATAGTACCAGCCTCTAGAGGTAGTCATTATTGATGCTTTGGTTTATATTTTTCCAATTATTTTTTGTGTGTGAATACAAGAGTTTTGTTTCTGTAGAATAGAATCAGAATCAGTTCGAAAAACAAATCTAATCAAGTTATTGTTTTCATTCATTTCTGGGTCTGTGAGAGAGAGCATAATACCATTGCCTCTCCCTCTGAGGCTTCTGTGCTGAAAGGCTCCTTTTCTCCTTGTCTCTATGATAGCCCTCTTTGCTAATGTGATTCTTTAAGAATTGCATTCGCCAGGCTAAGCTCTGAATATTTTTGGTTAGCATTGTAAGAAAGAGCAGGCCTTACACTATAGTTTATTATATGACTTACACAAGAAAAAGGGAAACAGTGAAGTTTCTTTAACAAGTGTAATCTTCTTTAGCCTCAGCAATAATGGTGACACATATTAACTGCTAATATTAAGCAGTTAATACGTCATGTGTCATTATGTATGTGTCATTATGTACTTCCATTGAATTTTCTTAGTATTCTTTTAGGTTTCTTACTTCTCCAGCACAGAAGGTGAAGTCTGAACAAGAATAAGTGTATAGCAGAGGATGACAGAGCCTATCAGAAAAAGTCATCTACCGTACTTTGAGAGTTTACAGGAAATACGCTTCTTTTGGCCTATAGAGTCACCACGCTTTGACCAAATTATAAGCCCATGGGATTTCTATAGAGTTAAAGAAACTCTGTTGGAAATTCTAAATCTGTTAAATGCAAAATGACTAATAGCAGAAGACGATACAGTGGCTGTTTAGGGAATACTGTGGCTGAAATAATAGGTTTAGAAGAGGACGTGTGAGACTATCAAATATATATAAGACATTGCTCAGGGCCTGCAGACATTTTTTGTAGAAATTATTGTAACCTGCTCAGATAAACATAGACATCTTAGTGTTGGTTCAAGAATTGGGAAATGAAACAAACCCGTTAAGTAAAAATAAGAGCTTATTAGAATATCCTGAGTTTTTCCACATTAATAGGGAAGTTGTCTAAGTAAAAGGTTGCCTTTCATCTGATTTGGAGAACAGCTTCCTCATAGGAAAAAATATATATATATAAACATACATATATGCATGCGTTTATGAATATAACTGTGTATATATTCCAAGTTAATGCCTTGCCATACAATTATGAAGCACTCTTAAGCAAAAAGTAGAGAATTAGGGCCACAATACAGTGACAAATACTGTTAACATGACGTATAATTTTCTAGAATTTTTTTCTGTCAGTGTCTGTTAGTCTTTATATATATACACATACATTTTATAGATGTAATCATATTCTGCATCCTATTTTGTAACCTGAGTTTTCTGCTGACCATGTATCTTGAACGTGTAATGACCACTTAGTATCCCATGACGTGGATGCCCTGCCATATTTAACCAGTTGGCTTCGGTGGACTTAGAAAGCCAAATGCTGCCTGAGCAATCCCATCTACATCCTTCCCAGTTTTCATGCCTTGCCCCACTTCTCCCAGTCCTGAGTTCACAAAGAGGTTCTGATTTGGATGATGTGACCCCTTCTCAGCCCTGAAAGGTGGGACGGGGGCAGGAGGATCTGCACAGAGCAGGATGGGGAGCCCAGTCCTAGGCTTAGTCATGCTTCCCAAGAATGGAGGATCCCTCATGCTCCCTCATATTTTGGAGGACGGGTTCCCCAGGCCTTGGGGGAGAGCTTGATTTTTTGTCCAGGCTCCTCATGTTTGATGCCAATTTGTATGGGGGTGGGGTGGGAGGAGAGGTGGAGGGACAAAGGGAAAGGGAGATTGTGTGAAGCAGAGAGGGATAGAAAAGGAATTTTAGGGAGTAGTTGGACATAGAAATGGAAGAAAAAATTGTTGTATTAGTTTGAGTCCCTTAGAGAGCACCAAGGCACAGCTTGGCTTAAGCCCTTCTTTTTTTTTTTTTTTTTTCTATCTAGGAGGGGAAGCACGAGGAAGATGGATCAATTTTGTCATTCTAAAAACATGGCCTATGTAAGTTGGTATTTCTTCCCCTGAAATATGATGACTTCACATTTTTTTTTTAGCCATTCTTTGCCATGCGGGGATCAGTAGGTTATCCCACAGCACACAGCAAGTTTGCTGTGCAGTGGCAAGATTCTTCCAGAACTTGCAGGCACCCTGCGAAGGGCCATAATGCTCCTGTCCTGCAGTGCGGTTCTTCGCCTCCTCTCTGTTCACCTTCAAGTAATTTCCTTCATTGTCATGGTAATGCATGTGTGTGTGGTTTCAGGGATCTCTGTCATTTGGGGACGTGGCCATCAGCTTCTCCCAGGGGGAGTGGGAGTGCCTGGACCCTGCTCAGAGGGCCTTGTACAGGGACGTGATGTTGGAGACCTACAGCAACCTGGTCTCTCTGGGTAAGACTATCTCCCCCAGTAGTAGTTCATTCTAAAGATTAATTAAAATTACAATAAAGGGGTGCCTAGGTGGCTCAGTCAGTCAAGCGTCTGCCTTTGGTTGAGGTCATGATCCCGGGGTCCTGGGATCAAGCCCCGCCTCAGGCTCCCTGCTCATCAGGGAGCCTGCTTCTCCCTCCCCCCACCCCGCTCATGCTCTTGCTCACTCTCTCTGTCTCTTTCTCAAATAAATAAATAAATACAATCTTTAATTAATATATA